TTTTAACTTTACAGATTATTAAAACTCTTTTTGGTTTTATCTTATAAAGAAGCAGATAAAAACAAAATTCAAATCTTAATATAAAAAAAATGATACTAAAGTGCTGTATATGAAGGTTATAAAGCATTGCACCAGAACACTGCATATTATTGAAGTTTATGAATTTTAGCCTGAACAGTCTCCACTAAAAACTATTGGTAGCAAAAGTGCCGTTTATGAAGTAATTTCACCAGAACGGCATTTTTACCATAATTCAGTCTGTATAACCCCAAATAAAACTAATGCACTGTTTAACATGAACAATGAGATTACTAGAAACTATTTAGTTATGGAAGGTCACTTATAAACCATTAATGTACACTCACCATTTGTGAAGCTCTGCTCTGATTTCCTGAGAAGCCTTCAAAGGCATTCCAAGAAGACCTCGATCACTTTCCCACAAGGATTTCTGGACATGAACACAACAAATTAATAAGAGTATTCAAAACTGTCCACATCTAAGCAAACAATAACTGTGCTTGGTGTACTTGAATGCATTTCTGTAAAACTGAAATACAGTACAGCTAAAAATTTAAATCCGAATATTATTATTTCCCATCAATATATACTATTAAACTGATAATTCATCTTGTTTGGAGAAGAGAATGAGAAAGAGAAAAAATGAGAACAATAGAGAGAATGGCCAAATGAGTATTCCTATCATATTCATGACTAATCAAACTACAATTTTTGCATTACATGAAAAATATATGCTTTCACTTACTCCTTGCAGTCCTGAGGCTCCAGGGAGAGCCTGTGCGACAAGATCTTCCATAGTTTGTGGCTGATTGGTGGGCCTCATGCCTGCAGGATTAAACCCCGTACTTGCAGTCTCCCCTGCTAAGCTGCCCAAGTGATCACCGTGAAGAGAATAATTTATGCTAGGATCGGAGTCTGCTGATGGAATGGATTCTTTGGTATCGTCAGCTTCTGAATATTTCATCCTGAGGTTCTTCTTTGACTAGGGGATCATCCATTACCAACTGTGTGTTGAATGCATGCAAAATACTTAAACAGCACCATATGACAAGAAGTTCACTATTTTCTTAAAAAATGGTTAACACAAAAACCTTGCAAAAACAAGGAAAAATTATATGTAGTAAAAGCCTTGGCTTAAGTTAAGTGTCACCTTTACATTTTCCTTTATATTCCCAGGGTACTGATGAAGAATCCTAAGTCATTTTTCAAAAATAAGTTTTCCTGCCATTTTTTCCTTGTTTCTGAGTGCTGTGATACAGTACTGTGCATATATTGTTTAGGCTCTGACTTAAAGGACTAATAGGAGAAAGAAAGTGGCTGATAAGGCAGTTGTGGAAGACATGAAATTGTTTTGCCATGATCACAACAATGAAAGTCAATTCTATCATCATGAACTTTGTCCATCATTTCTAAATGAGCCGAGCCAGCAAGTTTTCTCTTATTTCCAGAGTTCATTAAACTGAGGGTTTGTTGTAAACTGTCAAATGTAAGTGAAATATGAGTTCCCACAGAAAGTGTGTGTACAGCCCATTTAAAAGAAGTCAAAATGCTAAAGACATAATTAGATAACAGCACTCTTACCACATACAGTCGACCTCTGCTTAATGAGCATTAGCAAATTGGAATCTGGAATAACAAACAAAAAAACTCCCAATTCCCCTGCTTAACAACTAAATTTGCACTCGTATAACCTCATGCCAAGGTGGTGGTGGTGGCTGTGTGTGTGTGTGGGAGGGGGAGGGGGCAGCTTTTACTGCATAATGCCCTGCTTCCCAATATCTGGGGAAGAAATATAGCTCAAAGCTTGACAATAAAGGAAAGTGAAGAGGCATTCCTTTTGCAAATAGAAATGTGAACTAAAAAATTTCCAATTAATTCAGGTTTAGGTAGTAGGTTGGTAGACAGCAACTACCCAGGAAAGTGCTACAGTTGTGCCAAATGAGTGAAATGGAAGCTTGTAATTATTTCACACACTGGTAGGATTTCTGGTGCCTTCTGTCTCATAAACATGTAAGATAACAGGTACATCTTGGTATTTCTACTTACACTTAGGTCATGCCGCATAGGAATGTACACACATATGTATACACACCCACCTGAGTTTTCTTCTATTTTCTTAATAATTCTTGTTCACCTTTATTTCCTATCATCTCTATGGGGAAGTGGAAAGAATTCTTCCTCCGTAACCCATGCATGTCGTAGGAGGCAACTAAAATGCCAGGAGCAAGGAGCTAGTAACCCCTTCTCCTGTATAAATTACTAAATATAATAAAAAAAACTTTTCTTTTTCTTTTTGGGTCACACTGCCTTAGTGAAATATGGCTTGTGCCTTGGAAAAAAAAAAAAAACTTCATGAGAGTTTCTTCATTTTCAGGTCGCCCTACCTTGATAGGAGATGACCGGTGTGAGGAAAAAAAAAAAAAAAAAAAAAAAAAAAAAGTCAGGTTGACCTCTTTACCTAGGCCCCAACAAAGCAGGACATCTACATCACTGTCTGAATCTGTGAGTGGCTTCCCACCAAAACTGAAAAATATCCAGTGGAAAAATAGAACTGATGAATGGTACCTCAGCCTTCAATATGCCTATTGGGCAGAATAAGATGAAGACAAGCATCCCAGGAATAGGGAAAATTTTATAACTAATGATGACAGCGGGTTGTTCTCGCATCAACAAGGCTGGCAGGACTATCAACAACAAATGCAATGTGAATATACATATTACTAGTTCAAGAGAACATGTTATTGTTGACCTTTTATATACCACACATCAGCAACAGCAAGTCCTCACTTAACAATGTCGATAGGTTCTTGGAAACTCTGAATTTAAGCAAAATGTATGACAAAACCAATTTTACTATAGGCTAATTGATATAAACAAAGACACCTCACTGCCATCATCAAACCTCTTTAACCTTTTCAGGGTCCAGACCTCCAATCTGAAAATTGTCCACAGGGTCCAAGAATTTTCAAAAAATTTGTTATTTTTTCTTATGAAATGGTAGATAACTGTCCAATCCTGTCTGACTCCAGCCACATATCGTGCACGATAGGATAGTGTACAGTTACCTGGTTTTCAGAGTAACCTCAGACAACCCTGTGCTGAGACTACAATCCCTGCGATGCGACTTGTTCAAGTACTCGTTCCTTCCCAGGGGACGCTTTTGAGAAGAACTTTACTTGCAACGATTTATGCCATTCTCTGCGATGCACAAGCCATTGCAGAAAGACGTTTCTGTGGCTAGTGGTACTTACTCACTTGAGTGTTGTTGTTGTCCCTTTTGTTCCAGATTGTGATCCCATCCTAGTTGACAGTAATTCAGCAATGTAAGAAGTATTTCTCGGTAACTTTCCCACATGTTTGTTTAACGTTGTAAGTGAGAGTTTCTTTAAATAGTTTGAATACCTCATGTCACTGGTGTGCGTCTCAGATTGAATATCTATATTGTTGACTATGTCAATTTTATTTCCCCCTGTGCTTGCAGTGAGAAAGTAATTCGTTCTCTCCCTTGCTCATATGCGTTTTATAGCGTTAATTTTTTCAACCGGGAGAGTCATCCACTCCACCTAGTTTCATCCACTCCACTGAGTTTGTTCATTCCTTCAGTAAGAAAGAGCCCTAGACCCTTGTGTTCTGGGGATTCGATTCCTGCTCCATAAGATCTAATTCCTTACTGTTAAGTCCATCCAGCACCCATTAGTGACTTTGTAATGAGCCAAGACATACTGTACCGAACAGTAGAGTTGAGTACTCCCGAGCAAAGAGTTAGTAATTCCACAGTCCACTAGTGAATGTAGCGATGTATCTTTTGTAGTAATCGTTCATTATCGTCCATGTAGCTGTATCTTATGTAGATAACTCGTTCAGATCGTCCTCAGTCAAGACATGTGGTTAGCCATAGCAGAAATTCGATCCGTCTCCAGAGATGATAACCATTCTGCATATGTAAACCTCAACCCTCGCAGAATTGGTTTAAATTACATATCTGTATAATTAGATGTCCGAGTGGAATGAAATTATCAACTTGTGTTTTTGTTATTAGCTGATCAGTTTGTCAAGAAATTTTGTGTTCACGTTCCCTCCGAGTTTCTGAGAATTTAGCATAATAGCTGAGTGCATCAGATTTTGCTGTTAATTACTGCACATTGTTAATATATATATTTTATTCTTCCTCAGAATCCGTAGAGTGCATGAATACAGATCGATCGATCAATTCCATCCCATAATGTATACAATGATTTGTTCTTGATAAGGTCGTAATTATGCATTACAATGAAACTCAATTAATGTTAAAGTTGATTACGTTAACACCCATTACATTAAAACTCATTATGTTTAACATCCCGATTATGATACCATCCTTAGTTCTAAGTTATATAGTCTTTGTTATTGTATAGAATCAGCCCAAACCCACCTGCCTGTTCAGCCTATAGCATAGTAGTGTATGTCGAGACGACATAAGTAACATAACCAAGCTGTCCAGCATAGTTGCTGATCCCCTTAATGTGTTGGTATAGCTTTATATAGAAATCCCTAGGCGTAGTGACTGTAATGGACGTCATGGTACAGCATGAGTGAGTGAAGATGCTCTGGCCTCGCTCTCACTTCCACGCTTAGACATAGAGCAGGGCAGTAAAACAGCAGGCTGGCCCCCCTTTCCTTACCCACAGTCTGACATTACAAAATATTCATTACCAGCCACAAGTGTGTTTACCCTTCAACCATCATATCTCCTTCCGAACCCCCACACCAATAAAGTATCTATCAAAATCTCAGGTTAATGCCTCACAGGTGTGTGGTGCAGCAGAAGACCTGATCTGACCTCAGATATCAAGCCAATGTAAACCGGGCCGATGTAAGAAGTCTCCGGGCCCTAGGCTATTCAGATTTGGTGGCGGTCCCCTTTGAGTAACGGTAAGCAAGCGACCCCTTCAGCTTGGGGGTGGGGGGTGGGGGGTCAGTGTGAGCCTGTTGTAAGGTCTAATTAAATACATTCTGGCTATTTAGATTAAATTTAATAGGAAAGTACATCAAGACACCAAAACCATTTTACCACAGCCTTTATAACTATTTTGTTAAATCCTGCATTTTAAAGAGAATAAACTCAAGACAGCATAGTATTACTAGATTAGGCGTATTAAAGTAGTGACATCATGTACCTATTATATTCACCATAAACCACTACAGCACAACATTCCTATAAATCACTACCATTATTGTTATCATTGCAATCATGCATAAGACTATCAAATCATATAAACTACAGAAAATTGGAGAAGAATCTCCCATGCTCACTCCATTACGGGAAACACAGTTTTGTGTTTCTGATGTATACAAAGGCCGTGTTGAAGTGGGTTGCCATCTATGGTTAGAATTTATTTATTTTTATTTTATTTCATTTCATTATTTATTTTTGTTTTTGATTAATTTTTAAAAATCAATTTTACTCTCCCAAAACACTTGAACTTTTTAGTAGGGACCCCCCTTTGCACTTGCACCATGTGCGCAGTCTTGGATGAGCCCCTGAACCCCTGGGACTGCGGGGCCCCCAAATGCACGGGGCCCTAGGCAAATCCTAGTTTGCCTATGCGATAATCATGCCCTTCATGTGTAAAAGGTCAATGTGTCTGAGATCGTATGAGCTCAGTGTTTAACAGTGGAGCTCCAGGTAAGAAATTGTGAACCATTTTCAAGTTATCACACTTACTGTGACTGGTGTTTAATTATTATTATTATTAGTAGTAGTAGTAGTATAGTATCATCATCAAGGGGAAACGCTAAACCTATAGTTTTAAAACTAAACAGTTTTTATGTGGAGAATAAAGCTCAGGTTAGGGATAAATTGATAACTTTATTATTCGCCCCCAAACAGCTTCACTCATCTTGAGTGTTTTATGTAAAAGGCTTACTGGGGCACACAGTCCAGGAACTGGCATCAACACATTCTGTTTGCCTAAGTAAATTACAATGGCTAGGAAGGA